CCCAGCTCTCCCAGCCTGGCTCCAGAGCAGAGGGGCTCCAGCCCTGGCAGCATCTCCATGGCCTCCTCTGGACTCTCTCCAGCAGCTCCATGTCCTCATGTGTCCTTCTTCCCTCAGTCCTCAGCCAGGGAATGCACCAAGGTGGGCCCCACAAGCCTGGTGCTTTCAGTAGAGTCACCCCACAAAAACCCTGCAAAGCCCCAGCATGGCCTCCACTCCTCATGTCCCCACTTGGGTGGCCCATGCCAACTGTGCCAGGGCCCTGCTAGTAGTGGCCAACAGCTCCCAAATCATTTCCAGGCCTCTCCTGCCTGCCCAGGGCTGCATTTCCCTGTTAACTGGGGAGTAGGTGGTTGTTTCCCAGTATGGTACCACCACATCTCCGGGGGGTTTGCTGCTCCCTCACCGCAGTGCTGGTTGTTTACCGGGGCAGGTCCCTTTGTGCCGGCAGGAAGCGCGGTGGGCGATGCCCAGCGCTGCCGTGGGCAGCTCCGTGGCTGCTGCCGGCTCCTGGTGCCAGCCTGCTCCCCTTCCTGCTGGCTGAGCTGCCAGGAAGGAAACGGCCTCGCTGGGTTTCGGTTCGGCAGCTTCTCCAACTGACCAGGCCCAGCACAGCCAGAGCAGCTCATCCCACACAGGTCCTGCCGTTCCCTGCAATCCCACTGTGCCCTTCCAGGGATCAGGAGCATGTCTGGGCTGAGGGACACTGACAGCAAGGTGCAGTCAGAGCACTGCTCACCCTGCCAGAGCACTGGGAGCTGCCCACCCACACATCTGCCCTCCTTCAAGCACATAGTACTGGCACGGCTCAGAGCCACGAAGGATGTGGGGTCAGGCTCCGCTGGGATCCGGGCCAGGCAGGGAGCATTTTGGGATGCTGGAGCAGTGCAGGTGTGAGCAAGCCTGGCAGGAGCTGGCCCAAGGGATCCCCGGGCTGCCTGCCAACCCCCGTGAGGCAGCCAGAAAAGTCCCAGGGTTTTTTGGAGGCTCAGGGAGCTCCCCTGAAGCAGCAGGGCCCTGCACCAAGCAGGCTCCTGCCAGAGCAAGGATAGTTGACAGTATCCAAGGCCAAGCCTGGCAGCCTTCCCTGAGCAGCCCCAGGGCTCCAGGCACAGAGCAACATTCCAGAGCAGCCTCTCTGAAGCTCCAGGCATGGATTTTTGCTGCAGGACAGACTATACAGCACATCAGCCCCATGGAGACTCACAGGAGCTCGGCCCAGGCACTGCCAGGCGCGGCTGCCAGAGCACGTCCCCCATCCGGAGGGCACCCTGCGGCACACGGCCGGAGAGCGGCGGAAAGGCACGTGGAACAAAGCACCCGCCTGCTGTGGCCCAGAAAGCTCTCCCAAATCCTTTAAGAGCAGCCAAGAAGCAGATGAGGGATTCCAGTGTTGTTCCCCAGGCACCGAGTGGGGACAACACTCCAGGCACACGGAGCAGTGCCAGGAGGCTCTGCCAGTGGGGGGAAGGAGAAGGAGGCAGCACAGCAGCAACCCGGGACTTGCTGCATCCCATCCTGCCTCATCCACAGGCTCAGGGGGTCAGGGAGCACCAGCAGACCAAGCCAGAGCCACCCCACCAGGACTCTCCCAGGGACCCCAGCTCGCAGACCAGTGTCACGCGTATCAGGCTCAGACATTTCCTACATGGAGCTTTTTTTGGTCTACAAGATGCTCAGAACAGAAGTTTCCATGAGCAAACAATTCCCATGGCTGCCTGCAGGCAGTCAAAGAAGCCCTAGGAAGGCTCCAGCCCGGCAAGGAACAGTCAGAGGAAGGAGCAGGCTGGCTCAGGGACCACTCAGCCCCTTCAAGCTCCAAATTCCACAGGGAGAGAACAGCCCACTCAAGCCAACAGCATCATCCAAAGGCATCCAGACGTCTGTCTGTGGGGACCCAGTGACACCAGGCTGCCCCAAAGGAACACCGCTGTGCCTGGCTGTCCCTCCCTGACACCTCCTGGGGGAGACATGGCTGTCACTTACCTTCTTGTGTTTCTTGGCCATCCATTTGTCCCAGTTGTTGAGCATATCCAGCCACTTGGACTCCCGCTGTCGGAGCACCTCCAAGGGGACCTCCTCCAGCCTGTGGGATGGGGAGGAAGAGGCCAGTCAGCGTGGTGCCCAGCCCTCCCCTGTCCTCCCCAGCACCCTGGGTGACCCACATGCCCAGCTGGCTGCACCCCCAAGGCTCAGAGCCCGTCCGGGACACACTCAGCAGAGCCGGTGTTTTGGCAGCTGCCGGAAGCGCTTCTCACCCGTGAAATCACCGCGCCAGAGCAGCGGCTCAAACCTCCTGGGAGCAGCCTGCACTGCACCACCGAGAGCCTCAGCATCCCTAGGGACACGCCAGGAAGGTGAGGAGCGGGGAGCACATCCGGAGCCACGAGCGAGGCCGGATCCCCATGGCTGCACACAGAGAGAGCCGGGGCCATAAGCACCGTGTCACCCGCGCAGCCCCAGCCACGCCGCGCTCCCAGCGCCTGGCACTGCTCCAGCCCGGCACGGAGCCCGGCCCAGGGTCCCTCAGGAGGGAGGGGAGTGTTTTCCAGAACGGCTCAGCCCAGCCAGGGAATCCAATTTAACCCTGCAGAGGCAGAGGCAATGCTGCTGTGACACCAAAGCCGGCACCACGGCCTCCAACCCCCCATGGCACCACCTCTGTGCAGAAACAGGTCACAGGCAGCTCGGGCAGGCCCTAGGCAGGGACATCCAAGAGGAGCAGAAGCTCCTTCAAGCCATCAGTAACGACCCAGTGCCTTCCCAGGCACTGCTCCACACTCCCCTGTGGCTGCACCAAGCCCAGGAACAGCCAGATCCGTCCTGAGGACCCAAGGACAATGGTCTGGGTGCTGAGCATCCTCCAGCACCCAGCTCCACTGCAGGACACACAGGACACTGCCTCCTCTCAGATCTCTCTCCACGTCTGGAGCCGGAAAGTGAGCAGCACAGCGCTTCCAGAGCCACATCCAGCTGGCAGCACTGCCCTGCTCCCTGCCCAGCCCTTCCCCACCACGTCCCACCCACCGCAGCGGCTGGGACGGGGCGAGGGCGATTGTTCTGAGAGCAAACCCGCTCCCAAGGGATCTGCTTTGCCTGGATCCCCACCCTCCCCAGCACGGCCAGGCCCGGCACGGGGATGGAGGGAGCACTGGCCTCCAGCCGGGGCTGCGCGAGGCGTGGGAAGCTCGGGAGCGCGGGATGCTGGATACAGGAGCTGGCTGTGGGCCTGCTGGAGCCCGGCCAGCCCAGACTGGAAGCTGTTCCCAGCTGATGGCTGCTTGGCAGCGGGCAGGGAGCGAGGACCAGCTGCATTTCATATGGCTGAGGCAGGAGGACGTGGTGGGGGCACCCAGGCTAGGAAGAGGCGGGATGCCCTGCACCGGGAATGCGCTCCTCTGCATCCACGCTGGGGGGGACATCGCCCTCCCCAGTGCCCCCAGACCCTCCCCAGATGCTGGGACACCCCATGTGCCCTCCCTGTGCTATCCCTTCCAGCTAGAGAGACCCCAACTCTGCCAGCCACAGAAGGAGGCCAAGTATTCCCGCTCATCCACTCCTGGGACAGACTGAGAGCTGATGAAAGCCCTGGAGCAGGGCAGGATTGGACCCCAGTACACGTGCAGGGCTCAGTCCCCAGTGACTGCAGCCACCACACTGTCAGCACCCCTGGGAGCAGCCACTTGCCTCCAGCATCAGGAGCTCCGTCCAGGGGGGTTGCTGCCTGCTGGACCCCAGGGACAGGGACACCCACCCCAGGGACAGGGACACCCGCTCCAGGGACAGCCATAGGGACAACAGCCAGGACAAGTGTCCCCTAAATGTGATGTGTGGCCAGGACAGGGCACAGCACCCTGGGAAGGAGAGGCAACTCCACTCCTGCAGTGTCAAGGGACAAGGTTTATCACCCAGAGCGATGCACCTTGCCCAGAGCCAATGATCCAACCCTGGGTGTCTTTTCACCCCACAGACCAGCCCAGGAACACCCATAGCTTATGGGGGTGAACACTATGCTCCTCACAGACAGGGAAACCAAGGCACAGCACAGAGCACAGGGGGCAGATCCCAGACCTGCTCCAGGCAGTGTCCCAGCGGGAGAGGAGGCGGTTGCCACGCGCCATCCCCGCTGTCACCCTGGCTTTCTCTGGGCGTAGCTGTTAAAGCAGGGCCAGAAAGGCAAACACCAAACACGCTGCTGAACCAGCTCGACGGCAGCACATTCCTGGGTGTCAGCACCGCCCTGGGGCCCAGTGCCTCTGGGTGAGCCTCACTTCCTCCGAGGGCTTCCTTCCCAGAGCGGGGACACGGAGCCTTCAGCAGCGCTACTGACACCGGGTCCCTGGGAGGGCACCACGGCCTGGCCTCCTCGGCTTGACAGTGCCCAAAAATCTACCAGGATCAGCACCTGGAGGTGACCAGACACTGACCCTGGTGTGCTGGCACCTCCTGGATCCCAAGTGGGGTGAACAGCACTTCCCAGCCCTTCCCCCTTACAGGAGCAGGAGAGACAAGGGGAGATAGAATAGCTTTTGAGGCTCTTCATAGAATCATCAGAGCATCATACAATGGTTTGGGTTGGAAGAGACCTCAAAGCTCATCACATTCCTATCTGC